TTCTTCATTGCCTGCCATGTAATACATGATATGCAAAGCCTCTGACTTCAGCCAGCAGATATTTGGAGACCGTGTTGGCCCAGAATGGGACTCAACTAATGTGTGTTTAGGTCAGAAAGCGAATCAGAAAAGCCACTGGAGGGCACGTCACGAAGTGAGCGCCCTATAAATGCATCCCCGCTCTCAGCGTCCCCTGGCAAACGCTCGGCTTCCCTCCCTGGCTGCTCCACACCTCTCCTTCGTCGTGCTAGGGGAACTCCGGCCCGCAGCTCCTCTCCTCGCCGCTGCCTTCCTCTGCCCTGCAGAACGAACGACAGGGCTGGATACCGAGGGGGAAGGAAAGCCGTCGACGGGCGCGAGGAACGCCGAGCGCAGCCCTCCACCGACAGCGCGCCCTCCTCCAAAGCGCGCGGCGCGGGGACGAAGCCAGTGCGCACGCCGAAGTCAAGTTCGGATTGCCCCCTCCGGCTGAGCTGCGCAGAGCTCCGCACATTCCTCCGGATCTGCCCTGGGAGGAGGAGGCGCGAACCCAGCAGCGTCTCCAGCCGCGGAGCGCTCCCCCTGCACCCCCGGGAGGGGCGCCTCGCGTCGCCCACTCGCACCCCGAGCTCCCGCCTCGGGCGCTAGGGCGCCTCCTCGCTGCTCTCCTTTCCCTCTTCCACCGCCGCCACCCGACCCCTCCCCTCCAGGGGCCCCGCGACTCCCTTCCCCCACCCCGGCCCCCCGGCCCCTCGGCCCCCCGGCCCGGGCTCTCAAGGACCAGCCTGCGCTCCTGGCGCCCTCATGTCTTCAACCGACTCCCTGCGTTGGTTGACGTGGTGTCTCGTTCGGATTTCCAGGCAAGATCTCAGCTCCGGCGGCACCGTCAGCCCGGCCCATCTCGTGCACCCAGGCGCTGCGCCCCGAGAAGGCGCGGAGCGCGGCCGCCGCCGCTGAGCCGCACGCCGCGCCCAGGGCCCTCGCAGCCGTGTCACCCCCCACCCAAGGCAGCGGCGGCTGCTCGGACCTCAGCTTCTGGGGGTGTGTGGGGCCTGTGGGGGAGCTGTCGGCATCTTTCACCCTTCTCGCGGCGGCGGCGGGAGCCTTGGCCGCCGCCTCCCGCGCGCCCGAACAGCCCCGAGCAGCCCCAGGATTGCGAACTCGTCGTGCCCCTGAACTGTGGGGCGGGGCTCCGCGCTCCTGCCCTCGGCCCGGATGGCTGTACTGGCTGGGACTTGGGGCTCCTGGAGTTAATGTCCAACTGGGGGTCTGCGGAGACCGGATCCGAGGTAAGTCGTGTAGCGGGCCCAGGTGGAGGGGGCAGGTGGCGCCTCAGTCGCCGGCGGGCACCCCGGGCTGCGAGGCGCTGGAGACAGGGGGCGAGGTTGGACCCCTGAGCGGCGGTGAGATTGGAAAGAGGAAAGACTAAAGGAAACGGTAGTGCAGGGTGGACAGAGGAAAGAGAGAAGTTGAACGCGATAGAGGCTGGCCTTGCAGAGGGGCAGGTTGCCTTCCCACATAAGCAAAGATCTTGGTGCCCTTGATGCTTGCAGACCCCGGAATACCCGAGAGGGGTAGTTTCCCTCCCCGACTCGGCGGGGCGCTCTTCTGTCAAGTCCCGGGACAGTGCGCGGCTGGGGTCATCTTTGAACCCACCGCGACCAGTTTCCTCTCTGGACGTGCAGCTGCATAGATACCATTGCTGGGAGTGAAACTTACTGATGAGCTTGTTTTGGTCTGTTTCAAGAGAAAGCACAGGCCCCGCAGGGGCTGCTGTAAAGGTGCTGAGAACTTAAAATAGAGAGTTCACCTCCTCAGGGCGCGGTCTTGCAAAGCTACATTCCTCGCCCTTTTCGGAACTCGGTTGCTTGCATGTTCCTAATGCCTGCAACCCCAACTAACCATCCCCGTCGAGGTTAGGAGAGAGTCTCCCTGGACAGGTCAGGACTCGGGTCTCCACCTCAAACAGACACTCCCCCACCCCTTCCACCCCCGCCCCAGTTCTCCGCCAGGCCGTCGATGTGATTATTTTAATTAATTCTTTTCTCCTACACTCAATGCCAACTCCCCAGCAACACCCCCACCACTGCCTTGCACCATCTCGGCAGATTTCGTCTCGGTTTGGTTCCCAGCCCTACCCGGTGAAAACGAACCCACGTCGCTGTGGGGAATAGACTTTCGCCGGACCCCCTCAGCCTGTTGGCGCCCTCCCTGCTCCCCAGTTTTGGCGGTGGCAAACTCGCCCGCAAAGTCAGTGCGCGCGCCCCGGGAGGCGGGGGGGGGGGGGCTCCCAACTCTGTGCTGCCTACATTTCTGCATATTAGCAGGAACAAACATAACTCTTCCAGCCACTGCCGAGAATATGTCAGCGCGCTCGACTCCTCCTCGGTGTTTCGAATCTACACTTAAAATATTCCGAAGGGAAGATGTGGCTTCCAACCTCACGCACAAACCTCCTCCCCCAAAACCCTCCAAGAGAGAGCCGCTGCGCTTCCACCCTGCCCTGACCAGGTCTCGCCCCCGTTGTTTCGCAACTTGGCGGGGAAGGGGGGGCAGTGTCGCCTTTACAACTAGTGTTAGGTGTCCGGGAAGCCCGCGGCGTCCCAACCCCCACTCTCTCAAGGGGTTCGGGTACCCCCGGACCTGAAACTCGACCTCGGACCCTTTAACAGGGAGATCCCTGCACAGGTCTACAGAAAGCGTCCTTCATTCTTTTTCCTTTCCTGGATCTTGGGCCCAACATGGGGAGAATAAGTCCTCTGACAGTCTAGGACACGAAGTACATTTAAGTACAGCAATATATCTGTCAGCAACTTCTGCCCCTACCCCAAAGGAAAACCCTGAATTACAGCACCACCACCACCACCACCACCCCGCCGCCTCTCTATTCTCGCCCTGAGATCTGGATCTTGAAGGCAAAGCCCAAAGAAACCTCCCAGCCTGCCAAACACAGGAAGGTGCGGGGGCACCGGCGGCGGGAGCGCTTACTCGCTGTGAAGCTGTCACCCAGACTTCGGAATCTGGGGAGGAGGAGTTCTAAATGTAGGTTTCGGAAAACCAGGCCAGGTGAGGTGGGAAGAGGAAAACTAGGGAGAGGATGGAGAGAGAGGAGTCTGAAAAGCGGGGATGCTGGTGAGGACATCCTTAAGTTCCACGAGTAATTTGGATTTGGAGAGGACTGTAGGGGGGGTGCTTATTCACCGGTTTTATACTTAAAATGACAACGCAGCCTCCCGCCTGCGTGGGCGCTATGGCACTCCGGCGGTTTCTGGTGCCCCCTGGTGCTGGGAACTCAAAAGCGCCCCAGTGCGAGCGGCCTTCTGCCCGCATTCCAGCCCTGAAGCGTCCTTTCCGCTCCGGCCTGGGGACCACCAGGTGCCCGCGCCCCCGACACGCTCCTTTTGTCCTGCCTGGCGCCGAAGGGGACCAGCCTGTGGGGTACAAGAAGGGATGCGGAGGCACCTGGCAAGGCCGACTTCGGGACGAAAGCTTGGTTACCGCACGTGGTAGCTGGTTAAGAAACGCGCGTAGTAAAGGCGACAGAAATACGTCGGGCAGAAGTGCTTTGAAAGCGATAGAGACAAATAGGGAAGCTGCGAGCGGGGGTGGGGGACAGAAGGGCTCAGAGAAAGCGTCTTTGTAGACCGCCTAGAATGCCCGGCCTCCAGACCCCTTCCTCTTCCTCGGGGAACCAATGGAACCGGCCCCGCGGTGCTCAGAGGGAAGAATTCGCCCTCCCCAGTCGGGGGTGGTGGAGAGCTCTCTCGGGGCCTGCGCCGCACCCGGCCCAGTACTGGAAGGGGAGCCGGGAGCCTCCTCTGGCAAGGCGGGGAGTTTTCCACCGTTTCCCCTTTTGCCAGCTTCGCCACACTTCAAATGGAGGGTCTCCACGTCCAATTTAAAAAGCCCTCCATCGGCCAAGCAGGAAAAAAAAGGAAAACCCCTTTTAATGCGGAAGGGGAATCTGGTGCCTCGGCGGCTTCCTGCTGGCGGGCACCTCGATTTGGAATGGCGCACTAACCCCGCGCCTGCCTGCCCTTCAGGGCGGCCAGCCGTTTCGCACGCACCCGGGAGCTGGCACCCGGAGAGAGGGTGGGAGGTCTTAAGTCCTCCAGCCCTCGGTGCTAACGCGGCGCTCATTTTGCTCGGCCTCGGTACAGTTTGGCCTGGGGCCGTGCCCCCGAACCCAGTGCCTTTGCTTTTCCCGGGGACTGTAAACCAACCAGCGCGGCCTGAGCTGCAGGTTGCTCGAGTACCTAGTCCGTACCAACTCCTGGAGCACAACAGCTGCGTGGCGACCAGACAGACTCCCTGGGGATGAAAAATGCATTCGTTTCCGCAGCGGTGGGAGGTGGCGGCCGCATTCAATGCTTCCCCGGGTGGCCTTCACGGGAACCCAGGCGGGAGTTGTGGGTGGAGATGGGGGAAGTAGGGGCGGCTACTGAAAGGGAGGCGGTAGGCCTGGGAATTAATAAAGAGGAAAGGCGCCCAGGATTCTGCTTTGCCTGAAAACTGTCTTACTCTCTCCTGTGGAAAAAGCTCAGAGGTTTTCCTAAGAACCCGTTTTATTTGGAGAAGAGGGCATAATCAACTGCACGAATCTTGTAGTTTCCACTTGAGAATTCCCTTAGAAAATGGGACACTGGGTAATACCGCACCTCGAGGTCCCCGGCTTCCCTCCCCACCTCCTAATTGGGTGGAGTTTGGCCCGAAGTTGACAGAGCCTTTTCCTCGCCCTACCCCCTCGCTGCTTTGCCCTGCTCTCCAGGGTGTGAGGACTGAGAAGCCAAACGGAGCCCCCTCGCTAAGAAGAGCTGGGCCCCCACCCTGTGCGCGTTGGTGGCCTAGGCCTTCCGGCGCCGCTGACGCCGGGACCGGGTACAATCGTCCAGGAGTGACTGTGACCCGGGACGCGGGGAGCTCGAGACTCCTCTGGAAGGGGGAAAGAGTTAGAGTTGGAATCTCGCAAAAAATAAAGGTGTTGGGGTATATACCACGAAGGATTAACATCTTCAAGACAAATGCAATCCCTACCTAAAAGCCATACTGAATCATTGGTTGAGCGCTTACTTTATGCTCCTCTTGGCTTTGTCATACGTTATTTAATATTCATAGCTTTAAGAGGTGGAACTAGTGATTTAAATCTAGCTGATGCTTCGGGGAATTATGCAATTTAACGCAGATAATCCCATACCGGCCCAAAGTCTCCAAGTCTCTACTAACTTCTTGTTCCGACGACAAAATAGGTGGGAAGAATGAAGCGGGGAGGCGAATGGGGTGCAGGTTGCACAGAGCCTGCCCCCGCTTATCTGGGAGCAGGATCGGGAACCCCTGCCCAGGTGCTCTTGATTTTATTCTAAAACAAAAGACCCAGTGGCTTACTTGGTTTGAGAGCCTGTTTCCTGTCGCTCGCGGGACCTGCCCTGCGGAGAGGGGAGGTCTCTGGCTAGGGCGGAGGACAGACAGCGTGGGGGCTTCCCGGTCGGCCCTTGGAGAAAGGGGGGGGGGTGCGCGCCAGAAATGGGGACTGGTCAGGTGGCCTGGTGGCCTCTAATTGGGACCAGCGGGAGCAGGGGGCCTGGGTGAAAAATAAGACCCCTGGGATAGGGTGGCGGGAGAAAGGCAGTTGTGGCTGGACAGCGAGAGAGAGCCGCGCGCTGGGGCGGCACCCGGGATGGGGACCGAGTGGGGGACTTGGAAGGGGGACGGAGATGCCCAGGGGACCGCTGGACTGCGGCGGCCTCGGAGAGGGGCGGTGACAGATTTGGAGGGGGCGCGGGGCTGCTGCGCCCAGGGCGGCGCCCAGGCTTAATTGCGTTCTCCGGTTCTCTCGCCCGCGGGCGCAGGTGCCGCCGCCGCCCGGGACTCTAAGATGAAGTTATGGGATGTCGTGGCTGTCTGCCTGGTGCTGCTCCACACCGCGTCCGCCTTCCCGCTGCCCGCCGGTAAGAGGCCTCCCGAGGCGCCCGCCGAAGACCGCTCCCTCGGCCGCCGCCGCGCGCCCTTCGCGCTGAGCAGTGACTGTAAGAACCGTTCCCTCCCCGCGGGGGGCCCGCCGGCGGAGCCCCCCGCACCCCCACCTGCCGCCCGCACGCACCCCAAGCCAGCCCACCGGCAGCATCGCCTCCCCGGCCCGCGCTGGCGCTGCAGGCTGCTGCCCAGGCCCGGACGCCTAGTCTGTTTGACACGTGCTGGTTTGCCCAGCTCTCGGGGTATCAACTGTGTATGCTGTCTAATTAGCATTCTGATAAACAGATGTTTTCTAGGCCACCACCACCACAGTTGTCCCCTTTCTCCGCTTCCCCAACCTCTCTCTCTCTCTCTCTCTCTCTCTCTCCCTCCCCCCCCCCCCCCCACAGACCCGCTGGGTTTTTTTTTCCCTCTTCCAAAGACCTTGTCTGAAAAACAAGTGCCTTTCTATCCTAAACTGCCCTTGCAAGGGAAGAGGCTGAGGTTTCACAAAACGGAGTCAGAAAACACAGAAGGGACATGATTTCCAGAACAAACATCTGGGCACTGTAGACTCTGTTCAGAAAAGTTCGGGTTCTAGAAAGATAGGGTAAATCTGCTAGCTGGAACCGGCTGGGGATAGGGGGTAGTTCACTCCACACCTGACAATGTTAACTCTTAAGGAAAGAAATCAGGTATTCATATTAGAAAATAAATCTGTGATTGCGCCTCTCACAAATGTTTTAGAGATCGCTTTATTAGGGCACAGCAGCTATGATTTGATATATTTTACCAACTCTTCAAAAGTTTATCTGTCGCATAAAACAAGGTATGATACATTATAAGTTAGAGGTCATTGAGGGAGGTATGTAGGTAACAAAGGTAGAAAATTTGACACTATCTCAAAATAAAGCAATAGTGAGCTATAGCCAGGATATCATCTGGGTACCCCCCCCCCTTCTTCCCATGACCCTCCAGCTCTTTTGCATTTGAAATATACTGTGGTCATATGCACAGAAGTGGTCCCACAAATCAGCTGTATGGTAAGAGTCCCCCAAACCCTGCAGCCTTGGGCTAAGAACGGCCAAGCAAACTGATGTATTTATTTTATGCTTCATTACAACAATAGAAGCTTATTTTGCAAGAAGTTCCCCCTCCAAAAAAAAAAAGTCAACTTTTCAAGGCAAATTAAGACTTCAAGAGTGACTTAGGTTAGAAAGAGGACATGCTTGATTCCTTGAAATTAAAGGAACTGTTCTGAGAGTTTTCATCAGTTAGTTGTACTATATAAACCTATTTTTAAAGGCTTTGGTTTCAACCGCGAATTTCAATCTTAGTGATTATGCAATAGAAACTTACGTTTAAAATGCCCCTCAGTACCATCGTCTTTAGAATAGTACCCATGAGAGCTAAGTGGCTTTTCGTTTATTCATACAGCTTAGGCCAGAGGACCAGAGACACGGTGGTAGATAATAATAGTTCTCTAACCAGACACGCAGGAGAGAAAAATTACTGCCAGATTATGAAGCTGATTAATTCATGGAGATCTAGTTCACATATTAGTACCCTGTCTACCTAGGCTTAGTTAATGCCGGCTTCTGGTTCTGGCTCTGCTTCCAACTAACTCTGTTACTTTGGACGAGTTACTGTTGCTTGAGAACTCAGTGAACAATTTAAAACTGTATAGCAAAGGGAGGTCTTTCCATTCCAAAATGCCAGTGGCTATGAGTTTTGCCCTCTGACCTTCCTGTCCTTGCCCAAATGGTCCTTTGGGAAAAGACTCCTAGACTCCTGCTCTATGGATCACCTGGGGAACTTGAATGAGTATTGATACTGGGCCTCACCTGAGAGATTTTGATTTAATGGGTTTGGGGTGTGGCCTGGGCAGCTAGATATTTAGATGTTCCTCCTGTGAGTCTAATGTGCAGTCAGGGTTAGAATCATTATGACCTGATAATACCCTAAGAAAATCTGTGCCTCATATAAGGTACTGCCAATCAAAAGCATATTCCTACTGATTGGGGGGTGGGGGGGAGGCACAGGGAAATTACTTCCCTTTTCCAGAACTGATGCTGAGTCACCAGAGGACAAGATTCAGACTACTCCATTTACATTAGAACCAGCAGAACATACCCAGTTCAGTTTTCTCTGTGGGAAGACCCAATAGATCCTAGAGGAAACTTGAAGAGAAACTGGCAGCATTCTAAGCCAAATTGACTCCTTTCCAGGTATGTTCAATTCGGTAGCAAGCTGTCAGCGCAGGGAAGGGGAATAGTGACAGTGTGCAGACTTTGAACACTCGACCGTGTCAACACGCCCCTGTCACAGTGCTGACATTTATATCCTGCACTGTACACCGTGCAACTGGTTAAGGCTTATGTAGAAAACATTAAGCTACTTGTTCCATTTGAAAATGTAGCGTGGCATAAATCCTGGCCCCTCTTTTCAAATGCTTATAACTTAGTGATTGAGCAAAGGCTATTTGATGCCGGGACAGTCATTCTGTGCTGTTCCAAGGGGATCGAACGGTACCCCATCCACACACTCACCCTGAGGTTGCATGGGTTCTGCTGGTTCCATCTGTCGGTGAAACAGCCAGAATTCTATTCCTAGGGTGAACTACCCAAATAGAAATCAAAACTGGCTCACTTGCTTCCCTAGAGATTGGCTCTAAGCAGTGGTTCTCAGCCTTCCTAATGCCGCGACCCTTTAATACAGTTCCTCATAGTGTGGTGACCCCCAACCATAAAATTATTTTCTTGCTACTTCATAACTGTAATTTTGCTACTGTTATGTCTTAGGCGACCCCTGTGAAAGGGTCGTTCGACCTGCAAAGGGGCCGCGACCCACAGGTTGAGAACCGCTGCCCTCAAGTAAACGGGCTGCGGCTGCCTCCTGTAGCAACTTCGCACTTGTTGAAACCCAAGGACTTGGTGATTTTCCTTGTGGGGATTTTACGACTTTTCCCTGGAGCTGTCTTTGTTCTTTTATTTTGCTTTTTTTCCAGTGTCTTCTCCAATGGGCGATTTTTAAAGTAGGCATGAGGGATCTAGAAGGTGGAATTCACAGATGTCGTAGCATTTTAGAGCTGAAGCCGATGGTCCAAGGGCTAGCGTTTCACCATGGCAGGAGGCAGGTCTGCCGAAGGGGGGACCACAGTTTCCCCAAACTGCTGAAATGCAGAGAGCGTTGGGTTTTGCTCTATGGGGGGAAATACTTTGTGTGGCAGGAAAGTCTTCAACCACCACGAAAGCCGTGTTGCGAAAGGTCATCTGAATTGATTAGCTAATCGTAGTCACACAGCAGATCTCAGCCAGGTGTGACGGCTCGAAACGTGTTTCACAAGGAAAAGCATGAGGGCATGTGGTTTTAAAGGTCTGCGATTTAAGAACCTGTATTCATTTAACCAGTAGTTCGTCTGTGCCTATGTGTGCCAGGCCCTGCCCTAGGCGCTAGGGAAGCCTTGTACACATAACAGACAAAAGTCCCCGCCTTCGTGGAACATACTATCTAGTAAGTGTGTGCTGTGCGGTACGATTTGGTAGCAATGTCAACTAAAAGGAAACGTGACCTTGGGCTGGTAACATGGGCTTTTCTGTGGGACTGGAAGAAACAGGTAATCCACAATTTGTTGTGATACAGTGGTGTTATATTCTACTAGTTTGGTAGCAAGTCACAAAACTGCCTATAGAAACTACCTTCTAAATCAAGCTGTCAGGTTCTCAGCCCACGAAAATCTGTGTAAACCATGATATAACTGAAATATAATCCACAGTATTATTAGGCTAAAGTGCCTTCCTGGGGTGCAGGAGGTCCCTTAATCTGCAGGAGGGCAGAAAGCAAGAAATCAGGGAGTGTCAATAAGCAAGAGCTGACGTTCACACGTTGAGATCAGACTGGTCTGGATCCCAGCCTTGCCGTGGAACCAGCTGTTACGTAACATCTCTGAAGCCTGTTCCCTCGTCTGTAAAACAGGGATAATGTTAAGCCTGCCTTACGGGGTGGCTGTGAGGTTTAAATGAGGTGATGCTTTGTAAAGCCCCAGAGATAAGTATTATAGCTGCTATTTGCCACCCTCCTGCTCCCAGTGGGTTGCCGCGCACCCAAGGAGCGCCTTTTCTGCCGCCGCAGCCAGCCTCTGCCAAGATGCTGCTCTAAATGGTGGAATTTCAAGCAGCGCAACATAATTCGGAGAGCAGAAGAAATGCAAGCCTTTCGGGGAGGCTATTTTGGGCCCCACAGTCATTCCCTTGGTCAGCACGTAGGCAGGTCAGCCTTGCCTGGGATTCTGCCCCTGGGTCAGCTCCCCCTGGCTCTTCCCTGGTTTCCCTGCCCCCGTTTTCTGAGCCCACATAGTTCCTATGGAATTTTTCCCACCAGATGCCCACAGTCAGGCCAGGGAGACCCTCTTCCCCTGTGGGGAGGAAGGAGCCAGAGCCAACGAAGACCCTGATGTGTGAGGAGGAATGGGACGTGCGTTGGAAGCTACCTGTACTCAGACAGAGTGTTTCTGTTTTGAAAGCTGCCGGCTGCATACTTAATTTAAGATGTTTCATAAACCCAGCAAAAACACTTTTAGTGAACTTGAGTAAACGTTCAGCCCATCGTTGTCCAGGTAAGGAAGCTTCCGGTGCAAGCAGCTAGCTAAATGGTAAGCTTCCAAATGTCATGTTATGGGATATAGAGTTCAGAGTGACTGCACCATCCATCTGTTGCTTTGGGTAGCTCTGGGGGCTGTGTGAATGAGCAGTACTGTAGTCAAGTGACCACCTACGCTGGCTCTGCCATATGGGACGGGGCTCTCGGAACCGAGAAATCGCATGTCAGACTTTTAGGAGACACAGATTCCTCACTTGAGATCTGAGACCAACATCTCACTCTGGCCCCAGTCTCGAGACCTATTTCAAACTGGCTGTTTAGAGAAATCTATTTCAGGCTTAATTTGAATTGGCCTGTCTTAGGACCTTAGGCTGACCCAACAGCCAAAGAATTCTGCTCAGAAGATTCTGCTTTTGCTGATACAAAAATAAAAGCTATCTGGCACATCCCCTTCTAAGGTCCCTTTCATCGTCGT